AACCTATGTCACACATTCTGATGGATGATACTGTATCAAGCACCTTTTGGAAGTCTACGTACACCACATCAAAAGCATGAGCCTCTTCAAAGACTCCAGAAATTTAGTTAGCTTCCCTTAAGTTTTCTCTTAAGAAATCCACTTTACCTAATTAACGCATTTCTTTCCATGTAAGTATTAATTCTGTCGTAATTTGCTTGAAATTTCCCCCATATTGAAGTTAAACTGACAAGTCTGTAATTGCTGGGCTTGTCCTGACAACCCTTTTTTTTGTTTTAAACAAGGATATTATATTTGTAATTCTCTGGACGCATCCTGGAGCCTAGATATTTTTTAATTAACCAATTCATGCGCTATGACCTACCTCTGAAGCAGATGGAACTGCACCATAAGAGCCGGTACCATCCCTGAGTCTAAGTAATCGTAAAAGATTAATGCCAGTTTCCCTGTAATTTCCTCTCCCACTTCAGTATTCTTGAGTGTGTTTCATCCAGTCACGATACCTTATCAATTTTAAGTACCAATAGTCGACCCAATACTATCTCCTTATCAATTTAAAATTCTTTAACTGAATAAGTTTCCTCTCTGTCACTGTGATATGGGCAACAGCTTGTTCCTTGATTAAAAACATATGAAACATCTCAGCCTTGCCCCCTACCTTCCTCTGTTAGAACCTTTTTCAGTCCCTAATTGGTCCTACTCGTACATTTAAAAGCCTTATGCTGTTTAAATGCTTACTGGATTTTCCTGCTAGCTGCTGGTCTTTTTTAAAAAAAAAAAAAAAATTTCATATTGCTACACTTATTTACTTTCTTACCTCTGTTCTGAACCTCCTATATTCAGCTTTGTTCTCAAATAACTTTTCTATCAGATTCCTGTCATAAACATGCCTTTTATTTCTTTATAATTATCTCAGTCTCCTTTTTCTTTAAGGGGCTCTTGATCATTCACGCTACCTTTCCTTTTTTGAGTGAGTATCCTCTAACTATAGCCAAGCCATCTGTACTTTGAAGGGAGCCCATTGTTCAGCTGCAGCTTTTCTTGTTGGTTCTAGTCTATGCTGCACAGCTCTGTCCTTGTCCCCTTGAAGTCAGCTCTCCCCCAGTTAATTGTTCTAACTCTAGGTTATACTTTGTTCTTTTCCACTGTCAACCTAAACCTTATGAATGGTCGCTCTCCTCTCGGTGCTATCCCGCTGACACTTGATCTACTCTGTCCACCTTGATCCTGAAACCAGGTCTAGCAGTGCCTCCTTTCTTGTTGGACTGAACAGATATTGCTGTAGACAATTTCTCTGAACACAATCTAGGAACTTTTCTGCTCATTGCTTTAACTAAATATAGACTGGGCTAATGTAATTAAAGTACCCCATTATAACTACTATGATGTTTGCACTTCTCTGTAATTTCTTTGTGTTTGTTTCTCTACATCCACTAATTTTTCATTGATGTGGGTCTGGAGACACACTTAGGTCAAACCAGTAAAGGGTGGCACATTTCATTCTCTAAAGGGCATGAGTGAACCAGATGTATTTTTATGACAATTGACAATGGTTGCATGGCCAACGTTAGGTTTTAATTCCAGATTTCATTGAATTCAAATTTCATCAGCTATCAGTGCAGCTTGCAAGCCTATATCTCTATAACATTAGGCAGGGTATCTGGGTTGCTAATCCGTTGACATTATTACAATTACTACTACTACTACTCCACCTTCCTTTTATTAACTTAAGAAAGTGTCTTATTAGTTTCTTTCTGTTCAGATTTTTTAAGTTATTTAGAAACATTCCCTTGCAGTAATATAGTACAAATTGTTGTAATGTGATTCATTGATCATAATGGAAGGAAGGATCTTTCATCATAGAGTTACTGGCATTACAGAAGTTTAAGAAGTAAATCTGGTATTTTGGCCTTTTACTGTGATACTTTTGTTTTCATAATTATCAAAATGCAAAAAAAAAGACTTGAAAATAAAAGCAGACACACCACCTAACATCAACTGATGTGCCAGAAATGAACAAAACACAAAATCCTTCTCTGTAATATCTCTGGACTTGTAGCCAAATGGGAAAGTGCTCACATATGAATTGAGCAAGAGTCTGAAGTGGTCATACTCACTGAACCATACCTTACTGCTAATGCCCCAGACTCCTTGATCACCATTCATGAATATGTCCTGGTTCCACCATCAGAAAAGACCCATTGGAGATGGCAGCACAGTGGTATACAGTCAAGAGGATAAGTCACTGAAAGTTTTCAACGTTGATTCTTGACTCGGTAAAGTTTCATGTCAAGTCTAAGATGGGTCTATAAGACCATAAGATATAGGAGCAGAATTAGGCTATTTAGCCCATTAAGTCTGCTCCGTCATGCGATCATAGCTAATGTGGTTTCTCGACCCCAATCTCCTGTCTTCTCCTTGTAACCCTTGATCCCCTTACTTGCTGCCTCTGTTTTAAATACATTCAGTGACTTGACCTCTGCAGCAGTGAGTTCCACAGAGTCACCACTCTCTGGTTGAAGAAATTCCTCCTCCTCCTCATTTCTAAAGGATTGCCCCTTCACTCTGAGGCTGTGCCCTTGGCTCCTAGTCTCTTCTACAAGTGGAAATATCTTCTCCATGTCCACTCTATCCAGGCCTCAATCCAGTAAGTTTCAATCGGATCCCTTCCCTCATTCTTGTAAACTCCATTGGCTATAGACCTGGAGTCCTCAACTGCTCCTAATATAATAAGCCCTTCATCCCCAGGATCATTCTTGTAGATCCTCCAATGCCAGACGTCTTAACTGAAATGCAGGGCCCAAACCTGCTCATAGTATTCCAAAGAGAAAGGAAGGGGACCTCCTGATGATTGCCATCTATTTCCCTTCCCTCAGGCTGGTAAAAGCAAGTTCACAAAATGTACTCTAGTTGGGAGCTTCAGTGTCCATCACCAAGAGTGCCTTGATAATGTCACTACTGCCCAAGCTAGCAGGTGGTAAGAACCAACAAGAAGAAAAACCCTTGTTCTCACTCATTAAAGTATGTGTGCATCTGTAAAGGTGCATCTGTCCACCAAGGTATTAGTAGAAGTCACCACCACCCAGCCCTTGAGACAAAATCCTGTCTTCACATTGCGGAGACCATCCTTCATGTTATGTGACACTACCACTATGCTAAAAGGAATAGATTCGCTAATCTGTTTTATTACAGAGAGGCACGATGGCTCAGTAATTAACACTGCTGTCTCACAGCACCAGGGACCCAGGTTCAGTTCAGCCTCGGGCAATTGTGTGGAGTTTGCAGATTCTTCCTATGTCTGCATGGGTTTCCTCTAGGTGCTCCTGTTTCCTCCAGGTGCTTCAGCTTCCTCCCATACTCCAAAGATATGTGGGTTAGGTGGATTGGCCATGCAAAATTGTCCATAGTGTCCATGGTGTGTAGGTGAAGTGAGTAAGTCATGGGAAATGCAGGGTTACAGGGTTAGGGTAGGGGGGTGAGTCTTGGTGGGATGCTCTTTGGAGAGTCGGTGTGGACTTGTGGGGCCAAATGGCCTGTTTCCGCACTGTGGGGATTCTATGATTCAGTGAAGATTCAAAAGAGATTTAACAGGTCAAAATTGTGCATCATTGAGGTACTGAAGGCCATCCTCAGCAGTGGAATTGGGTTCGGCCACTATGTGTAAGCTCGTTGTTACACACTCAGGACAATAGTCTCATTGGTACTTTGTCCTTATTGAACTGGTTGTGGGATGGATATATTATGGAGAGGTCCCATGACTGAATCAAACCAGGAGGCATATTAATGTAGGATTGCATTCTATCCTAAACATCTCCCTTTTCATACAAAAACAAAGCATGCATTGCCCATAGCACCATGAGTTACCTGCTGTATGTACAACTGTTCTCATACACTATCAGTTTGTTATTCTTGTTAGTCTCGCACATCCATTGTGTACACAATCTATAAATTATGTTGGTCTCTTTATTGTGCTTGTTGTCATTGGCTACTTATCTGGGTATGCTCCTTTTTGGGAGTGTTGTTCCTGTGTCACCTGTTGCCACAGTAACTCTGGTTCCATTTCCATTGTTTGGGTGCTGTGAGCCTCTGTTCACTGTGCAGATTGTGAATTAACATCTTGTTTAGCCACCTGCAGTGAAGGAACAACTTCCCTAACTGTGCATATCTGTCCATTGCTTTAATGTTATATCTGTTCTTCACTTCCAGCGCATGCGATCAAGATGACAACTGCTCTGTGCAAATCCCTTTTGGCTCCCTGCAATTTCACTATCATCCTGTCACTACTTGTGGCATCGGTTGCTTTTTTGCTATGAGAAGTTGGGTGTGGCATGACATTAGTCTCCGTAATGGTCTGTTTTTATTTTTCATGCCTTCAATGGGTGTTTCTCCAGTCTGTCCTATATACATCTGTCCTGAATTTGCTTGATTTGGAATTTGCTTGAATGGACCTCTAAAATTTCAAATCTAATGTTGATTTTGCTTTTGTGCACCTTTGCAGCCGTAACTTTGTTTTCCTGGCTCTGTTCTGTCACCCTATGATCTTTGTATGGTATGATCTGCCTGTACTGCACACAAAACAAAACTTTGTCACATTATGAAGTACTGTGAAATAATAAATCAAATCGATTCATTTCACGGTTTTCACTATCATCTCAGCTTTTCCACATCACTGTGGGATAAGTGGAGGTGATGTATAATGTTGAATTTTCCAATCCTTTATGAACTGAAAGCCATTGTGGAAAGTGACAATGTCAGGAATGTTGTATTGGCAGAAGTGTGCTTTCAAACATACCACAATTTCACCTGTAATTGTCAAAGTCAGCTATTTTCATCTGAAGTCCATGGCAATAAAATGATCAGTTCCTGCCAAAATGAAAAAGGCTTACTCCCAGCTTCGTATTATGTCTGGGCTGTCATGTGTCATCAGAAAAGCTTGAAATTGAGCCTAAAATGATGTAAGGAAAATTTTAAACTTGTGCATCTCTTTCGTCTTGTTGCAGTTCTACATTCTGAAGCTAGGAACCAAAGACAAAATACTGCACTGGGAGAGAATAAAAGATTTTAAGGGGGTACCACCATCACCCAAAGACAAGCTTGGTTGTTGGGTATACAAGAACAAGTAAGTATACAATTGCTTCTAATGCAATTTTGCTTCATGAACAGCAACTGTTGGGGTAGGCTCATAGAGGTGATTGGACAAATGGTCTGTACGTTATACCTGCTGTTTTATCATGTTCATGTCAGATTTCACTGAACTACTTTGCTTTTCACACATACACAAAGAAAAAGTATAGAAATGTTCAAACTATGTTCAATTGTTTCTTCATGTTTCTTGTTATCAAGAACATTTAATCCACATGAGACAAAAATGTAATTTTTAAACTTCGATTTTACTTTTAAAGTATTTAACACAAATGAAAGGAAATCTAATGTCTTAGTGCATTTTTGATTTCAACCTTTTAGTACAATTTTTAGAATTATATTCTAATGAAATTTTAAGCTTGACCTATCAAAGCAAGATACTATTCCAGTAACTGCAGAGTTGCAGAATAGGCAATTGTTATTGACATTTGATGCCTGTTCCATTGAGTTCATGGGAAGCTGTAGCTACATTGATATGCTGAAAGTCTACCTATTACACACTGCATTTGAAGAGGATCTGATGTAAACCAGAACAGGTTTATTCATTTGGTTCGATTAGATTCTAATTAATACATTTTTATTCCTTTCACGTTGACTTTGCAAATGTATTTTTCCACACCCACTGTTAATTCTATTATTAACTTTTCACTCAGATTGATTTTCTTTGGTGGCTATGGTTACCAACCTCGAGGACAGTATCATGGATCATTTGAATTTGATGAATCATCATTTTGGGTAAGTAATTCTGTGTGTATTACTGTAGATTGTCTTTGTGTTTCTTTACATAAAGTAATGAGAATGAAATGATTATTACTTTTCTTTCCAGAATGCAAGTCATCCAAGAGGCTGGAACAATCATGTCCACTTCATTGACCTTGAAACTTTTACATGGTATCAGCCTATTACAAAGGTATTAATACTGTTTATTTTGCTGCTCAAGAAGTGGGTTTGGCTTTTCTATGTTGCAGTATTTTTCACTTATGTGATGACTTTGTTTTCTTGTGTTTGTTTTTCTTGCGTATAATTTTGATTCAGATAATTTTACCAGAACACAGTTCTCCAAAATAATAGAATTTAGTGATAAGCTATATTGTGCTGTTGTAACCAACAGGGAAAAGCCCCTTCACCTAGAGCAGCTCATGCTTGTGCTACAATTGGGAACCGAGGCTATGTGTTTGGAGGAAGGTATCAGGTATGTTATTTGATTTTCCTCATAATTAAAATGTTTTTCACTAATTCAGTAATACTTTTTTTGTAACAGCAGAAATGTCACATTTGGTGAAATTATAGTGTTACTGAAGAAAAGGAGGCTTTGTGCCACTTTAATCTGAAGATAGCATGATTACATTTACATTATGGGAGAACATTTTCCTAAAAACTAATCGTTAAGCTATTGTGTTATATAAATCTTTGAACAGACTTTTTTATAATTATGTATAGTGCATAGAAATAACAGAAACATCAGGACAGCCTCTATAACCATTTCTGTAGCTTTTCTTGTTCAAAAAGTTAGTTAGGATAAGGCGTTGTAAGTGATGAAAGATGTATGTCTCACTTGAAGCACAATCAGATGAGGTCTCATAGGACAAGATGTGGAGTACATATCCCACTACCAGAAAATAATATAACTTCCCTTACTGTTTGGCTTTAAGAGGTGTCTTGCCTTCCCATCTTTATGCAAGGTAGTAGACCTGTTCTATAGAGAAAGAAGTTACAAAGTATGGAAACTAACAGTAACTTTAGAATTATTAAATCTTTTTGAATACAAATGACACTTGTTTTAGCTGAGTAATGTCTCATGTTTATGAAGGGTGCATGCCAATAACAAACATCAAAATGCTTCCAACAATTAACCTTGCATTACCTGTCAGCTACAAATAAATATTTTTATGTACTTTGTTTTTTTTCACTATCTCTACTGAAGGATGCCAGGACCAACGACCTCTACTACCTTGATTTGGATACTTGGGAATGGAATGAAGTGTATGTTACGGATTTCATACATTTTTACATGATAATGAATTGCTGAATTAAGAACTTGCATTTTCTTTTCACCTTTCTCCCAGTCTCTAATAAATTTGCAAGGAATTTTTTTAGCACTGAACATAAATAGGCTTTGGCTGCCATTCCCCAATGTCCAACTTGTCAAAATGAATAATTATTAATATTCACAAATAAAAAATAATGTTATTAAGCTATTCAAACCTGTAGAGCATCTCAGCCAAGCCTGTTGATTGTGTATCTGATACCCACATTGGACTTCGGGTGTGATGTTCCTTAATGTAATCGAGTATGAATCCAAGTTGTGATTTCTAAAATGGTGGAACTAATTGTAAGACTGCTACTACCAACTGCAACTGAGACAAGCCAACAGCACAGATGAGGATTCAACCTGGAATCTCAGTGCTCTATATGATTGTACTTGGTTAACAATAGGAGCAACAAATGTTTTCACCAATCAAACTCCATTTGATTTTTCCTAAAGGATATTATCAAATGACTGTGTCTGTCTGTTAAATTTGATATGTCATTTTAAAAAAAAATTATCCTTACTGTGTGAGTAAGCAGATGAACAACTGTCAGACCTCTGCCACTGTTGGTTTACAGCCAGTTGTTCAAACATGTATGGCAATAGGCTGTGATAAATATTCTTTAAATTTTGTAATTTTATTCCCGTTTGTCCTCACACTTCATGTTAAATTGTTTGTTTTTATTCAGATGCTAATAAATCAGCTGGGTACTACAAATTTTATTTCCAAGATTTGCAGTTTTTCTTTTTATCACTACAGTTTTTGCCATACTAATCTTAAATAGAAACAACGTCATAAAACTTGTGTTTATATCATCATTGCTAGTCACAAATGTAATTCCTTCGCTTCATTTTTTATTTGACAACAATGAAACATGTAAGACAATGTGCGATTGTCACCAGGCCAAGTCGCTCATTTTGTTTTTTTTTTTCTGTAGTTGAGATTTGGTGTATGCAGTGTTTTGTACAGGAAATGAGTGTTTAGGCTATCCATGAATCAACGCACTTCCATCAGGAACATTGTCTATCACTCAAAACTTTTATTTGCTAGGGTACAATCTCCTGATCAGATTCCTGTTGGCCGTTCTTGGCATTCACTCACTACAATCTCAAATGACCATCTCTTCCTTTTTGGAGGTTTCACGACTGACAAACAACCGTTAAGTATGTTTCAACTCTTGTTTTGTTGCATAAATAATTTAGTGTCAGAATTTTTGGAGACTGCAATTAGAGTTGAGCTTGCCTTTGATGTATGATGGTCAAGGTGATGTTATTTCTCATTGTGTACCTTGCTCTAGAAATTTACATTAGTGCTTGTACTATTACATATTAAATGTATGCTTTTAATTTTTTTGTAAATTATTTAAAGATTTAAATATCTGCATTCAAGATTTGTACCTAAACTAGTGTCAAATATCTCACTTGATAAAGAATTGTCTCACTCTTAAAATATTCACATTACACAATCCCATATTTGGTGAAAATTTCACCTTGATGGCAAGGTTACAAAGTATTTGTAACCTTTGTGTCATTGGGAAACGGACTAAAATCAGCAGTGTAATTATTTCTGAAAAATATGTAAGGGGCTGTATCAAGATTTCTCAATTAATCTCAAAAGATCATTTTGTTTTTCAGGTGATGCTTGGATATATAGTGTGAGCAAGAATGAATGGTTAAAAGTAGAGCACCAATATTCAGACAGACCAAGGTAAACAGCATAAACTGATGACCTAGAATTTTCTTGTGAATTTTGTGCTCTTGTAACTTTGTTAGTTGGTCAGATGATGATTCAGTATTGTATTATTATTTGTTAGTTTTGTTTCTCATAAGAATCCCTGTCTGGTATTTCCTGTTATGAGCAGTATTGACTGTCTACGGTAAGATAAATAAAGAGCTAGTCAAGAGGTGTGCTTCTAAGAAGTTGGCAATCACCTGTCAAACGATAATAGTGTATTCATAGAGTCTTAGTCATAGAGCTGTATAACATGGAAATAGATCCTTTGGTCCAACATGTTCATGCCGACTAGATATCCTAAATAAATCTTGTCCCATTTGCCAGCATTTAGCCCATATTCCTCTTAAACCCTTCCTATTCATATACCTCCAGATGCCTTTTATATGGAATTGTAGCAGCCTCCACCACTTCCTCTGGCAGCTCATTCCATACACACACCACCCTCTGCATGGTGCCCTTTAAGTCCCTTTTAAATTTTTCCCCTCTCACTTTAAACGTATGCCCTCTAGTTTTGGACACCCTACCCTGCGGAAAAGGCCTTGTCTATTTACCATATCTATGCCCCTTGTGATGTTATAATCCTCTACAAGGTCACTCCTCAGCCTCTGACACTCCAGGTAAAATTCAGCCTCTCCCTATAACTCAAACCCTCCGATTTCGGCAACATCCTTGTGAATCTTTTCTGAACCCTTTCAAGTTTCACAACATCCTTCCTATAGCAGGGAGACCAGAGTTGAACGCAGTATTCCAAAAGTGGCCTTACCAATATCCTGTACAGCTGCAACATTACCTGCCAACTCCTATATTCAATGCACTGACCAATAAAGGCAAGTATACCAACACCACCTTCACTATCCTGTCTACCTGTGACTCCACTTCCAAGGAACTATGAATCGGCACTCCAAGGTCTTTTTGTTCAGCAACACTCCCTAGGACATTACCATTAAGTATGTAAGTCCTGTTCTCATTTGCTTTTCCAAAATGCAGCACCTCACATTTATCTAAATTAAACTCCATTGCCACTCCTCTGCCCATTGGCCCACCTGACCCAGATCCTGTCCTTCTTTGAGGTAGCCTTCTTTGCTGTCCACTATGCCTCCAATTTTGGTGTCATCTGCAAACTTCCTAACAATACCTCTGAGAGATAGTAAGAACTGCTGATGCTGGAGTCAGAAATAACAGAGTGGAGTTGGAGGAACACAGCAGGCTAGGCAGCATCAGAGGAGCGGGAAAGTTGACGTTTTGGGTCGGGACCCTTCTTCATTTTCTGAAGAAGGGTCCTGACCCAAAATGTCAACTTTCCTGCACTCCTGATGCTGCCTGGCCTGCTGTGCTCCTCCAGCTCCACACTGTGTTAACCATACCTCCTATCTGTTCACATCCAAATCCATTATATAAATGGTGAAGGGCAGTGGACCCACCATCGATCCTTGCAGCACACCACTGGTCACAGGCCTCCAGTCCGAAAAGCAACCCTCCACTACCACCCTCTGTCTTCTACCTTTGAGCCAGTTCTGTATCAAAATGGCTAGTCCTCCCTGTATTCCATGTGATCTAACCTTGCTAACCAGGCTACCATGAGGAACCTTGTCAAACGCCTTACATATAGATTACGCCCATCGCTCTGCCCTCTTCAGAAGAAGAATTTTGAACAGCAGCTTCTCGATGGCTGTGGCTGGAGCTCTTTACTGATCAAAGCTTTTGGAGCTTGTCAGTTTCACTGAAGAAGCACTGTACATTTCCTTTGATAGCCCTAGCTCCAAATGATCTCTTTTGATCAGATTTTCCCCCTAATCCTTGATTCCCTTGCTGATTTAAAAATCTCTCTATCTCAGCCTTAAATATACTTAACAATTCAGCCTCAACAGCTCTGTAGTATCGAATTCCACAGATCTACTACCTACACAGAAGAAATTCCTCTTCATCTGTTTTAAATTAATTATTCTGAGATTAAGTCCTCTGGTCCCCATCTTTCCCATAACGTGAAACAACCTCTCTGCCTCAGCCCCATCAAATTTCCTAAGAATCATGTATGTTTCAATAAGAACATTTCTCATTCTTTTAAATTCCAATGAATACAGGCCCAACCTACTCAACTTCTCCTCATAAGACAGTCCGTCCACACTTGGTATCAGCCTAGTGGACTTTCTCCGGACTGACTCCAATGCCAGGTTATTCTTTTTTGGATAAGAGGCCCAAATTTGTTCACAGCACTCCATATGTGTTCTCATTAATGCCTTGTTTATTTTAGCAAAACTTCCCTACTTTTGTACTGCATTCCCTTTTGAAACAAAGGTCAGTATTCCATTTACCTTCCCTATTACCTACTGAACTCTGCGAGGTTTTTTTTTTGAGAAGATCCATAGACGAGGACTCTCAAGTCCTTCTGCTCTGTAGCTTTCTGCTTCATTTAAATAATATCCAGTTCCTCTATACTTTCTGCCAAAGTGCATAACCTCACATTTTCCCACATTATATTCCATCTGTCAAGTTTTTGCCTACTGACTTAACCTGTCTATGTCCCTCTACCAATAACTTTTTTTCCAGCGCAAAATCATTGCTTTGGGCATCCTTGTATTGGCCTCCATTTTCCTATATCAGTAAAGGCGGGTTCTGGAGTGTTCAAGGACAGTCCCAGAAATTGATATCAGTTTGGAATCTGTGACTTTCCCCAAAGATTATGGGTTCAGCAGGGAACTTCCTGGGTATGGTGGAAATGAGGGGACAGTTTCAAAACAGCACCCTGCAATGGGGTTAGGGTTAGTGGTAGTGGTGTGTGATAGGATCAATAAAGCCAAGTTGTTTTATTGAATGGCATTTGTTGCTTCTGCCAGAAATTATTTTCAGATTAATTTACTTCAAAACAAACAAAGCTCTCTCTGCCAAATTATATCTATCATTTGAAGTATTTCTTTTTCTTATGCGTGCATTGTCTTGGCTTGGCTTTCTCCTTAAATCTTCAAAAACCTCAAATCTGCGGTGTGGTCTTCTATCATGAGGCATTGATATCCCTGGATTGAAATCAACCAGTCTAATTGCTTTTTGTTCTCCATATCTAATGGTTAAGGAAGTTTGTGTCTTCCTGGTGAAAGAAGGAAATCAGACTCTGATCTCACCTACCTCCTTTCCCACATCTTTGAAGCTGAATAAAATGGTTATTAACAATAGCAGTGCCCTATTAGCAAAGGAGATACAGGATCCATGTAGTACTTAGACATATTGGGTGTACTTGATTTTTTTGAAAGATAGTTATGTTTGTTCTTTTAAATACCTACCCCCAAATTTACTCTCTAACTGGTGCTGCTCCAACCTGTTGAGGAGAATTTTTGCCATTTTGCTTACATTGTCATATAAGGACTCTTGTTTCTTTAGTTTTAAAAGCACCTTTTCCAAACACTGGGAGATGATGATTATGGCCTCCTGTCATAGTGAAAGTAAAATTTAGCTTGTGCTGCCCCAGAATTCTTTCAAGCAACATAACAAGTTAAATAACATTTTATTATAAATAACAATGTTATGCTAATATAGTTGTTTATCTTCAGACTTTGGCATTCTGCTTGTACAAGCGATGAAGCAGAAGTGATTGTTTTTGGTGGATGTGCTAACAATTTACTGGCTCGTCAACAAGCAGTAAGTTGCCTCTTTTGCAATATTTTAAACAATGCTCTGAACTTATCATTAAGACCATAAGATACAGAAGTAGAGATGGGCCATTCAACCCATTTCAGTCTATATCTCCATTCTAAGAGATCATGGCTGATCTGATTATCCTTCAACTCCATTGTCCTGTCTTTTCCCATAATTCTTGATTCTTACTGATTTTAAAAATTTGACTGTCTCGGCCTTAAATATATTTAATGTCCCAGTTTCAACAGCCCTCTGTGGTAAAGAGTTCCACAGATGCACTACACTTCGAGAAGAAATTTCTCCTCATCTCTGTATTAAATGTGCAACCCCTTATGAGATTATGCCCTCTGGTCCTAGATTCTCCCCACAAGGGGAAACCCCCATTCCGCATCTGCCCTGTCAAGTGCCCTAAGAATCTTTTATGTTTCAATAAGGTCTCCACTCAGTATTTAATCATTGGAATTTAAAAGAGTATCATCTTCTGAGTAAGAGTATTGAGGTATAGGCTTAGCAAAAGTCGTTGTTGCGTAAGGTAATGGTCCTGCAAGGACTGATTGTGGAGACTGTGTATTAAGCTCCAACCATTCTGATGTTGGCATGTAGACTCATGTGGTGATGACACGGAGCACCTTTAGGATCTTGTTGAGTGGAAGCCTATATCCTAGGTCTTCCAGTAATCTGAATCACAAAGTTTATCTTACAAAAGTAACTTGTACCTGATCACTATCATGCAATAAACTGCATCCTGTTCAAGACAATGTTCTTGTCATTGAGACTCAATTGTTGATAACAAATAACCCCAGTGATTGGCATCCCAGAATATACAACAACCAGAATACAACAGCTCTTTCACTCGTGTTTTTTGAAGACACAAACTAAAATCTATATTTAAAACCAAGCTTCCTATTTGCGATTTAAATGATATTCATACGCAAGTGATTACTTTAAAAAAAAAAGAATAGTTAGTCTTCTGAAATGAGAAAAATTCTTAAGTCCATTATATAATGAGTTATGAAGTATTCATATTTTTCTAAAAAGCATAATCTGTGGCTAATAATTACTGGACTAAGAATTAAATTAGGTTTCCTTCAGCAGAACATTTAAACATGCTGTACTAGACAGCTGATTCATTAATTCAGTAAACCATTTCACTCTAGTTCCTGCACTGTAGCCACAAAGAGAATGAATATAGAGCTCTCCGTGTACTTTGGAATAAGAATGTAGCTTTTAAGAGTTTCATATTTATTTCGATGTTTATGATGTACAGGAATATGGAGAAAAGGCAAGTGATTGGCACTGGGTAATAGAACAGGTGCAGGCACAATGGACCGGATGGCCTCCTGTGCCATGACAGCTCTGTGATTCCATGGTAAATGATAAGTAAAATGAAGCATGGAGATTTCTTTCCCCTGTTTTTTAAATTTCATACTTGTTTCCTACTTCAGTGCAGCAGAAGATAACTAGCAAGCTACTCGTAATAAATGGTCAATACAATTAACATAGGATAGGTCAGTTGAGTGGCATATACAGCCATAAACGTGGGGAGTCATATACCCACCAAATGTGTTGATTCATGAGCATGTCATGCATCCCAAACACACCTGCAGGATGTTTCACCAGCTGCACAAAGTTTGAGTTCTGGGTTTCAGAACTTGAGTAGCAGCTGAAATCACTGTTGTGCTTCGTGAGGCAGACATCTGTGTGGATGTTGCATTTAGGGATGTGCTCTCACTACAGGTTAAGAGTGTGCAGGCTGATAACAAATAAGTGACTGAAGGCAGTCCAACATAACCAGGCAAATAGTACAGGAGTCCCTGACAGAATATCACCTGCAAATTGGTTTTCTGCTTTGGATACTGCTCGGGATTTTGGTTCCTCAGTGTGCAGTTAGAGCCAGGTCAGTAGCGCAGGGGCAAACAGCTGTGTATGAGCTGAGGAAGAAAGATGGAAGAATAGTACTTCTAGAAGCATAGAAACAAAAGAACAGGAAAGGCCATTCAGTCCTTCAAGCCTGAGGCACTATTCCATATGATTGTGGCTTATCCTCTGTCTCAATGTTATATATACGCATTTCTCCCCATATCTTTTACCTTTAAAATCGTTAAAAAAAACTATGTCTTGAACATGTTCAGTCACTTGGCCTCTTCAGCCTTCTTTGGAAGAGAATTCCACTGGTTCACTACCCTTTTGAGTCCTAAATGGTTCACCCTGAGACAGTGTGCCCAAGTTTTAGACTCCCCAACTGGGGGAAATATCCTCCCTGCATGTTCTCCCTAGTCTGTCCAGCTCTGTCAGGTCCAGTTCAACCAATCTCTCCTCATTGGACAGTACTGCTATTCTTTTACTTAGGGGAACAGACAGGCTTTTTTGCAGCTCTAAATATAATGGTATATTATCTCCCTGGTGCCAGGATCAAGAACCTCACATTATGCCTGTATGACATTCTTCTGGGCTAAGAGTGAACAGCCAGAGGTCATAATCCATGTTAAGAATGGAGATGAGGTCCTGAATGCAAATTTCAGGGAATTAGGAAGGAGATTGAAAAGCAGGACCTTTGAAGCAGTTATCTTAGAATTAGTCCCAGTCCCATGTGCTGGTGAGCATAGAGACAGGAGAATTAAGCAATTGAACACCAGGCTGGAAAATTAGTACAGGAGTATCAGATTTGGGGTTCTGGAGCAGATGGTACTTATACAAGATGAACAAGTTGCATCTTGGCAGGACCAGAACTAACATCCTTGTGGGGAAATAGTGCTGTTGGGAATGGCTTAAACTAGATTGTCAGGGGAATGAGAACTTAGAATAGAATAGAAATTTATTGTCATGTGTACTTTTTACATGAAAAAGACAGTGAAAAGTCATCCCGGCATGGCACCTCCATCAATGACAGAAGTCGTACCTAATAATGAAACAAAAGTAAAATTAAGGCAAAGTTCAGCACAGTTCAGTTAAGGGCTCTTGGGCTTGGGGAAAGCCAGTTTTCTAAAAGAAAATGGAATGTCCTGAAGACTTAGCTGTGACGAGACCAGCACGCTGGGCCACTGGAATACTGGGCCGAAAGTCTCTGCCAAAGGACCCGTTCCTCGGTCCCCGAGAGACCCTGCTTTGGAGTAGAGCCACGTCTGGCTCGGCATGGCATTGTGCTCCTGCCAGCAGAGGCCGCCTCCTTTACTCGCCACTCTCCAGGCTTAAAAGGAAATGAAGAAGAAAAAAAGATGGCCAATGGGAGCGGACAAGCCCTGGGCTCACCCTGTCTACTCCACTGCCATCTTGAAATGAATTCATAACTTGAGAGGGACCTCTGATTCAACTAGAAAGAGTGAGCAAGACAATAATAATGAGCAACTTCAATTTGCATATATATTGGATTAACCAGGTCAGCACTTATTCTGTGGAGGATGAATTTGTGGCGTGTATACAGTATGATGAGAAGCCAGCTAGGGATTGGGCTATTTTGCATTTGGTATTGTGTAATGATAAAGGGATACTTGGTATTCTTGCTGTTAAGGAGCTTTGGGAAATAGAGACCATGATAAAATTTTACATGGTGTTTTAATGAAAATATGGTCTTGAATCAGAGCAAAAGAAACTGTACAAGTATGAGTGGAAAGCTGGCTGGCATTTATTGGGAAGATATACAAAAAGATTTGACAATAGACAGGCAATCGGGGCGGGGGGAGAGTAAGTGTTTAAAAGAAATATTACAAGGCCTACAACAGATGTACATTCCTTTAAGGCACAGACACCTAAAGGGAAAAGTGAATCATTCATGGTTAACGAAATAAGTTTACGATTGCATTAGATCAAAGGAAGTGGCTTATAAGAATGCCAGAAATAGTATGTACATAGCCTGACCATTTTGCACAAGAAAGTGGTAGGGCTTAATGGACTGAATGGCCTAAATGGCCTACTCCACTCCCTAAGGAACTTCAACCAGTACTCTACCACAAGTGATGTAGCAGCAATCTGCTTCAGCACCACTGGATGCAGAGTTTGTTTTTATTTCCAGTACAAACTGTGTTCCATATACAAATATTCTGGCAATGCTGATTGATATAAAATTGCTATCCAAATATACTATTCACACTAGATAAGAGTTAGTTCTGTGCCAGCTCTTTAAGACATCGTGTTAAGCAGGTTAGGTTATAGACCATTTTATCTGCAGAATTTTTTTTCCGTGCAGGTCAAGGTAAATCTAATGGAGAATGAGTATTTTACAATTAGCCTTTAAGAACATTAAGTTGAAAATAATTCAAAGTTATTGGCATCTGAGATCTTGAGAGGGAATGTATGTAATTTTTTAAAATGTGGTTCAGCAGGTCACATTTTTAGAAACTTATCTGACTTTTTTTTTTAAAGAGTCATAAAGATGTACAGCATGGAAACTGACCCTTCGGTCCAACCCATCTATGCCAGTCAGATATCCTAGATAAATCTAGTCCCATTTGCCAGTATTTGGTCCATATCCCTCTAAACCCTTCCTATTCATATACCTATCTAGATGCCCTTTAAATGTTGTAATTGTACCAACTTCCTCTGGCAGCTCATTCCATGCATGTACAACCCTCTACGTGAAAGAGTTGCCTCTTAGGTCCCTTTTAAATCTTTCCCCTCTCCCCGTAAACCTACGTCCTTTTTTTTTTTGACTCCCCACCCCAGGACAAAGACCTTGTCTATTTACCCTATCCATGCCCCTCATGATTTTATAAACCTTTTACAGACTTATTCGGAAATCTCATAAACAAGTGACATTAGGATTGTTACATATATAAAAAAAAGCCTCCTTAGCTATCTACATAGTTTTAAATCACTTAAATTCTGTTTTCTATATCTAAATTGCTGTTACTTTTCTGCAGGCTCACAGTAATGACATCCTTATCTTCTCTGTGCAGCCAAAGTCACTTGTCGGGTAAGGCCATGATTTTGCTGATAAACAACTGCCAGGTATATTAAGCTATTACCAACCAATGAACTTAGTTTTTCCTGTGATGTCACTATTTTATACTGAGCCCACAATCCTGGGCTTCAATTTATCCTGTTAAAAAGATCTTAAAAACAATAAAAACTACGAAACAAAAAAAACAAGCAAAAAGACCTTCCTGACTGTGCAAAGCTTGTTGATCGGGTGCTTTCAACAAGCCTTTTCTTAAATAGAGCTGAGGTGAGGTGAGTTGACTTTTGCTAGTTCAGCTTCAATAGCACTTATTGAGGCTCTAGTCAGACTTCAGCTGACTGAGGGATAATGATTAGTCAGCTGCCTTATCAACCTTTTCATTAGACTACTGAATTTTCCACTTTTTAAAAGTGGAGAAGAAAAAGAAACATTTACCAATTCTATTCCTATGCTGCCTCCAAAATCCCTGAGCTATACACTCAGGCTCTGTCACACTCTGGATGTGAGCTCTCCTTCCTGACCATGCGAAGCTTACTAGTGGAATCAATTATTGATGAACTATTAGCAGCACATTTGCAAAATCATAATCTAATCAAGCAGTCTTGGCATGGCTTCATGAAAGGGACATTATGTCTGACTAATATATTTGAAAAATTCTAAGAAGTCTCAACCAGACGCCCAGAAGGTAATGAAAAAGTACTTCACAAAAGTTTAAGTCATAAGATAAGAGCCCACTGTATCAGAGTTGATATATTGGCATGAATAGCGAATTGGCTAATTGCGAGTGGGAATAAGGGGTTTTTTTCAGGTTGACGACGAGTGGGATTCCACAAAGATCGTTGCTGGGACTGCAACTGTTTAGAGTATATTCCCAATTTAACAATATATATATTGAATAATAGGAGAGGCTGCTGCACATTTTCTGTGAAGGAATACAGATCAACTAGAATGTCCCAGCCCAACACAATTCCCTCCATCTCTTTAGTAGAATAGAAAACTATATGTGGCAGTGACGTAGCCCTTTAATATTAAACATTAAAACTTTGAAATATTTGGTACCAGTCTTTTTCAAAGTAGCATGAGTGCTGATTGAGTTGTTTGTAGTGTGGGATGAAGCTTATGTTTTAAGCTTTAAATAACAATTAAAACTATCTTCTGTATAAATTATTCTCAATAGTATAAAGTTTTGAATTTTGATTTTTGTATTATTTCCATCCTTCAGACTTTGCCTAGAAGCAGTGATCCATTATAAAGAAATATTGGCCCATATATGGGACTGTCTTCCAAAGCATCTGCTTCTTAATATTAATCAACGAGCTGGGAGCAGTAACACATCTGGATCATGAGTTCTGACAATACAATTACAGTTCGAGCAATCATAGTGTGATTTAGTTGTTCTTTGTTCTAGCAGTCAAAAGTACTGGTTTATGACAAGGTATGGGTAAGCTGGAGAGAAGCATAACTTTTTTGTCTTTTATTGGTACCTGCATTTTTGCAGGCTTTTGATTTGCTTGTACTGTATGTATAGAAATTTTATTTTCTGTTTTGAATAAATGTGAAGCAGAGACAACTTAGTTTACTTTGTACATCGTGTTCTCTCAACTTCAAAATAATGCTCAGATTGATATGTTGAATCTCATCTACCTGAAGCAGTTTATTTTTCATTCTGGTATTAAGTAAAAATTAAATAAAACGTGCCTTTTCAATAAAGGGCAAAGAATTTCATGAAAGCCATCCTTCATGATTTGTCATTTCAGGATCTGGGCTGTATGAAACTCATCTTGGTTATGTAATAACAAGACTATTAATACATCATCAAGCAACGCTGAGTCACTCTAAAGGTGGGGGGGTGGGGTGAAGGAACATCACACAAGTGATAACACAACTAAGAACCAACTTGACAAGAAAATTCATAGTGGCAGTTAAAACTGAGATCAGAGGCAAATCCAGGAGTGAGAGATGGAGTATGGCACCTAATGTCATGGGGAAGCCAAAGAAAGTAATATGTGGCTGATTACAAACCAAAAAGACAAACTGTGCTCGAAGGCAGAGGGCACACTTGAAGTATTTCTTCCATTCTCCCTTGAATAGAAGTGACTTTTTCAGATTTTTACTTGAGCTGTTTGACTCTGATCAACCAGCTGTCACTGGTCTAGACTTGCACAAAACGTTTCACTTTGCTTTGCAAATTGGTTTGAATTTTACTGCTCGCACTTATAGCATCACTGGTCTACATTCAGTGCTGCTTATTTGTTTGTTTTCTATGGATCTTAAAGTAAGCTTCAGACAATATCCATGACCAGTTATAATGAATGAATTGATGCTTTTGTTGTTTCTAAAGGCAGCTTGACTGTTTCTTTTCACCTTTTAAGTAATTTGAACATTTTATCCTATTTGGGTAAAGGGAAGTAGATCCAGTAATCGGTATGTAACTATGTACTATCATCCTTTAGATTTTAAGGGTTTCTAGCATCTGAGGCACTATATTCCAACATGTGCCACTTTGGGCAAAGAGGTAATGGTGTAGGGTGACATTTTGAAGTCAGCCGTAGCTGTTATAGAGGGCACTTTCAAATTAGCCACCTTTTTATATTACTGTTCAGTTCAGTTTCAAATAAAAGTGATCTATCAAATCTTTCGTAGCTTTTGCTGTACTTACATGGATAGATGCACAATCTTAATAAACAGAACTGTGGATGCTGGAAAAGCTCAGCAGGTCTGGCAGCTTGTGAAGAAAAAAAGTCATTTAACGTTTCAGGTCAGGTGACCCTTCCTCAGTTCTGACCTGGAACGTTAACTCTTTATCTTCACAGGTGCTGCTGAGCTTTTCCAGCAACTTCTCTTTTTGTTGTGGGTGCATAATCTTGTCTGCCAGAGTTAGAAATATTATGCTTACCACAAAGGGATTGGGAAAGATAATCATTGTATTTAGTAACGTGAAATATGCATTGAATAGTTTTGTGATGAGCCAAGACAATTAAAATGGGTTGAACATAAAGAATACAACTTTATTTACAGTTGAAAATTTCAAATTTTGGAACCAATGTTTGTTGTTATGGACATACATGAAATTGCTGAGGGGTCAGCACATTGATAGGAGTGCTCATGTCTATTGTTCCTAACGTTTATTTTCTGTAACTACAGGATTACTGACCCACAACTATTTTTCTGATATTGTCCTTCATCATCTGTATCTCAGTAAGAAAATACATTCCAACATATCGATTCTTTCAAAATAAAACTTATAAAGCATCACAATCTTATGGCATGGTTTAATTATAACAATTCTATTTTTCAAAAAATTGAAAACTGAAAGAGGGAGATTTATCCACAGTTAAGAATTTGTCACTAGTTAGTACGTTGCTAGCTCTTTCAATTGTTGATCGTCATATGATTCAACTTTGTCAATGTATGGCCACAAATTTGCTGGTGAGAGAGCAATTCATTCATTCTTAAAAGGATTCAAAAGTCAGTATTCTAAAGTAAACTGGTCAAGAACTAGGCAGACTTTCCCAGAAAATCATATCTTTTGTACCATCTGCAATATTAGGAGGTTGGAAACTGCATGCAGTGCAGTCAAACTACAGGCATTTCTCTAGATACTGGGCATAATGTTTTAAGTGAATTACTGCTAATTGATTGATTAATGTCTTGATATTAATGTTAAAGAAAAATTATTTTTGATACATGGCTAAATAAAAAATTGATGCAATACTCCTCTCTTTCCTCCCTACAATTTTGTGGAAATAAGTTGAATTTCAAAGTCATTATTTGGAAATGTCATTCATTCATTATGTCATGAATACTCGTTTTAAAACAAGTTAATCAGTCTGGATAAGGTGTACATCAACGTTTAACAGTAGCTTTATTTCTAAGCTTCGAGCAGCACCAAACCAAGTACAGAGACATATGTTTATCACTTCCTCTGGTCATATTTAAATAATTTTTAATAAATTAGCTCTTTAGGATTTTCATCATTAGACGTGCTGCAAATTAATGTCTCCGAGGACTATCCATCAACTTCAACGAAAGTAAATCCTGCGATGTTATTTCCGCTTATTAGCTAACAAATTAGGTGCTGAAACCTTCACTTTGCCAGGTATGTTTCTTGACAAATCAGTATCCTAAACAAGAGAAAGATACCAGTTTAGTCTACAGTATCACCAGGGCATAAACTTGGTTTTCTTTTCCAAATTTTCTGGTGGGGGGGGGGGGGGGTGCGGTAATTAAAAGTTTAAAGTTCACTTTTAATCGTCAGTTGTCCATTTATGACTACCACTGTAGGATTGAGGTATTTTTCATAAATGAATAATGTTGACTTAATTAGCAAATGAGGCATTAAATGATATTGTTGTTAAGATATGGTTAGTTGTTAAAAACTCAAAAGGAAGAAGACCACATCATGGATTTAATAATTACATTTATGGCTCAAGGTAATGTAAACTTAGGCTAACAAATGTGAAAATGCTTAGGAGGTTGCAGCTTTTACACCAGTGTATATTGACAGGCCTCTATGTTCATTTTGTAATAACTTTAATTTGATTTAGGCAGTTATTATGGAGACATGCATTATTCTTCTAGTTTGGAATTTTTCAGATGCATTAGTTGGGGGCGATACTAAATCAGTTGGGATTACACTACATACTCAAAGCAGACATGCAGCATGGCACCAATGAGGCTATTTACCTCGGTAAGGGGCTATGGAATTGAAACAAGCAGTTATGAAAGTGACTAGCATATCAAAGATTGAAGATAGTAGGAAGTGAGATGACTTGGTTTACTAATGACATTCATTACCCATGTGTCACGGCCTTCCCATAGTATTCATTTATAAAATGTTTTTGTTGGATACTGCACCTGAAAAGGATAAAGTTCCATGTGCAGAAGGCATTCTGGAATATGTTTACCTTTACACTGCGTAATAAATCTTTTTCTCGTGGCATGGCTTCTTTGGAATGCATGAAGTTGTTCAAGGCTGTTTTAGCCGCTAAAAAAGACAAATCAAAGGGTTTTACATCACCAATTCAAAGCAAAATTTGTGAAGAAGCATTAAGAATTTTACATACCCTTCCCTTTCTTCTGTGTTCCAGGTGTGAGTTTCACCTTGTATCTAAAATTGAACATTACAAATTAAATAGTTTAGTTCATGTTTGTGTCAAATATACTTGTCTCGGTTAACCAAGTTTTAGCTACTTCTAAATCTCAACACAATGCAATGAGTGATACTAAAATAGTGAAGATTCCATTCAGGTATAAAACAAATCTAGATTTTCAAATACATTGTGGTTAAATTGATTACATTGTAATTTTTTGATCTAGACCAGCTGGTTTGTGTAAAGCAAATTTCTATTATTGCAGTTCTGAAGAAGGGTCACCTGACCCATAATGTTAACTCTGATTTCTCTCCACAGATGCTGCCAGACCTGCTGAGCTTTTCCAACAATTTCTGTTTTTGTTTCTATTTGTGCTTTTGGTTTTATTTCCCTAACTACTACTTTGTTTGAATGAAAATTTGAAACATTCTTTCCATTTTGTTCTGCTGCCTTGCACCAGATGAGGTTTTATTTGGCAATTGACAATGGTCACCCATTAAGTAGCTTTTAAGTTGTTATAGACCAGATCAAGCCCACTCCCACAAAGTATTGTAAGGAGATAGCTTAGATCCTAATTTTTTTTTAGCTCTGCTATAACGCATGTTTCATAAATGTGAATTGGCTGTAACGTGACTGATGAATAATGGATGCTGTTTGGATAACGCAAACTCTGTTGTACAGGTATAGCAGTTTTTTATAGTGTGAGGTCACACGTATGCACCTATCACGTTATAGGAGAATTACCTATACTAAAGAAGATATGAACTGGCATAACTTTAACTCTGTTGAAATACTTAACAAGATAATGCACTATTTAACCACTAATCACCAACTATTCTAATATAGGCAGCATCCTACAAATACACCCTTTGGCAAAAACACAAATCAACAAACCAGTTCTGGTTCTCATGTGCTGTCTCTCCAGTCCAGAAGAAACAAACAAAAGAATCAGACTCCTGCAGCACGGAGACAGGCCCTTCAGCCCAAACTGGTCCATGCCAACCTAAATGTCCATTCACGCTAACTCTATTTCCCTGCACCTGGCCTATATCCCTCTAAATCTTTCCGATCCGTGTATTTGTCCAAATGCCTTTTAAATGTTGAGGCAGGTACGTTAACAACCACTTCTGCTGGCAGCTCATTCTATATGCGTATCACGCTCTGCATAAAAAAATGTTGCCCCTTTCTTTCCCTCCTTACTGGAAAAAGGCTGGGCGCATTCACCCCATCCATGCCTTTCATAATCTTATACACTTCTTTAAGATCCTCCCTCAGTCTCCTACGCTCTAAAGAAAAAAGTCCTAGCCGCTCCCCATAACTCAGTCCTACTTGTAAATTTCTTCTGCACTCTTTCCAGTTTAATAACATACTTCCTATAGCAAGGCGACCAAAACGGAACATAATACTCCAACTGCAGCCTCACCAACGTCATGTACAACTGCAACATAACTTCCCAACTTCTGTACTCAGTGCCGTGACTGATGAAGGCCAATGTGCCAAAAGCTGCCTTCGTTGCCCGGTCTACCTGCGACTCCACTTTCAGAGAACCGTGCATCTGAAATCTGAGGTCCCTCTGTTCCACTAAACTCCTTAAGGCCCTACCATTCACCATGAAACTCCTACCTTGATTTGACTTTCCAAAATGCAATACCTCACTTATCTATATTAAAATCCATTTGCTATTTCTCAGCCCACGTCCCGAGCTGTTCAAGATGCTGCTGCAATTTCTGATAATCTTCCTCACCTATTTTAGTGTCATCTGCAAACCTACTAATCATGCCTTGTACGTTCTCATCCAAATCATTGATATAGATAGCAAACAGCAATGAGCCCAGCATTGACCCAAGGCACACCACTAGTCACAGGCCTCTAGTCCGACAAGCATCCTTCCACTATTACCCTCAAATCAATTATGTATCCAATTTGCCAGGTCTGCCTGGATTCCATGTGATCTAACCTTCCACAGCAGCCTAGCATAGGGAACCTTATCAAAGGCCTTACTCAAATCCATATAGACTAATGTCTACTGCCCTGCCCTCATCAACCTTCCTGGTCACTTCAAAGAAATCTAACAAATTTGTGAGGCATGATCTTCCATGCACAAAGCAATGCTGACTACTCCTAATCAAACCCTGTTTTTCTAAATGCATATAGATCATATCCCTCAGAATCTTCTCAAGTAACGTACCTACCACAGATGTTAGACTTACTGGTCTACAGTTCCCAGGTTTTTCTTTGCAGCCCTTCTTTAATAAAGGGCACAACATTCACTACCCTCCAGTCTTCTGGGACCTCACCCATGGCTAACAATAATGCAAATATATCAGCCAGGGCTCCTGCAATTTCTTTTCTAGCCTCTTGCAGGGTTCTTGGATGTATCTTATCAGTACCAGGAGATTTATCCACCTTTATACATTCTTGTACATCCAATACCATCTTTACTGTGATGTAGACTGTCCCCAACACATTGCCACTAACTTCCCCCAAGTTCCCAAGTCTTCATGTCTTTCTTCACAGTAAACAGAGGAGAAATATTCATTAGTAACTCGCCCATCTCCTCCGGTTCCACACATACATGTCCACTTTGGTCCTTGAGAGTTCCTATTCTCTCTCTAGTTATTCTTTTTCCTTTAACCTACTTAAAGAATCTCTTTGGATTCACCCTAATCTTCTCAGCCAAAGCTATCTCATGCCCCTTTTTTGCCCTCCTGATTTCCTTCTTCAGTAAACTCCTGTATCCCCGTTATACCTCCAGGGATTACCTTGATCCCAGCTGCCTGTACCTGAGCCATGCTTTCTTCTTTCTGGTCAAAGCCTCAATATCTTGTCATCCAGGGTTACCTAGTCCTGCCAACCTTGCCTTTCACCCTCAAAGGAACATACAGACCTTGAACTCTACCTATCACAATTTTAAAGGCCTCCCACTTGCCAGAGGTCCCTTTGCCTGCAAACAAACTACTCCAATCAACCCCTGCAAGCTCCTGTCTAATTCCATCAAAGTTCGCTGGTCCAATGTACTCCCTCAGTGTCACCTCAGTCACTTATCCTGCCCTATTTCCCAACAGTGTGTCGAGTCTTGCCCCTTCCCAAGTAGGCCCCTCTATATACTGCTTGAAGAAACTTTCCTGAACACTTAAATTCCACCCCATCCAAACCCTTAACGCTATGGCAGTCCCACTTTGTTAGGAAAATTAAAATTCCCTACTACGACAACCCTATTGCTCCTGCAAGTCTCCCCAGTCTCACTGCATATTTGTTCCTCTAATTCCCATTGACTATTTGGGGGCCTATAGTACAACCCCAATAACATCACCATCCCTTTCTTATTTCTTAGCTGCATCCACGAAGCCTCACTGGATGATCCCTCAGTTATTTCATTTCTGACTACTGTGTAATACCTCCCCTTACTCAAAAAGGCAACTCCCTCTCCCCTCTACCTCTGTCCTGCCTAAAGCACCTCTACCTTGGCACATTAAGCTGCCAGTGTGTCCCTCCCTTAGCCACTCCCACATGCCTACCCCACCCTGGGTTCATCAGCCTTACCCTAGCTCTTGCATTGAAATAGGTGCAATTTAATCCAGCAGGCATTCTCGCTGCTCGTCCTGTTCCAGCCTGACCTGTCTCTTCAATTTGCTATTTCTGATTACTGTATCTCCTTCTTGCCTCCCTGCTGTTGAGGATCCCAACCCCCTGCCAATCTAGTTAAATCCCCTTGTAGCACAAGTAAATTTGCCCGCCAGGATATTGGTCCCCTTCCAGTTCAGGTGCAACCTGTCACCCCTGCCCAGGGAAAAATTCCAATGATCCAAGAATCTGAATCCCTACCCCTTGCACCAATTATTTAGCCACACATTCATCTGCCATATCCTCCTGTTCTTACCCACACTAGCTTGTGGCGCTGGAAGTAATCGGGAGATTACCACTGCCGAGGTCCTGGTTTTTAATTTTATTCCTAGCTTTCTATAATCTGCCCCTTTTGATTCTCAAAGGGAAGCCTCGCTACCTAAGACTTAACTCTAGCAGCCAGCAGAAACTTTCTAACTGAAATCAAAACTGAAAGCCTTCGTGGGTCTATATGAGCCCTGACACCACCCACTCATGATTCTTTTGTCTCCGTTAAAAAAAAAATACCCATGGAAAACACAAAAGCTATTTACCAACTGCCTGTCTGACATGACTGTGGCAACAGCCCTCCACAAGAGAAACAGCACAGAACGCCACTCTCTTTAAGGCAAGGTCTCACCACAAATTCCAGGTTTTCTTTTTTATTTAATTCAAGTTTTACCATCTGCCATGGTGGTTCTGAATTACTAGTCAAGTGACACTGCCAGTATGCCGCCCACCAATTAAAGGTTTATACACTCTTTGTCCATTAATTTCCTTTCTCAGTGCTTCGCAGTGGTATGGTCTCCATCCTTATCTGATCAGCCCTACAACAGCAATGTCGTTGCCTCTTAAGTGCCTTCTGAAATGACCAAGCAAGCCATCTGCTCAGGGGAAGTTAGGGATGGGCAGTAAGTGTTGGCCTAGCCAGTGACGCTCACATTCCAAAAACAAATTTAATTTAAAAAATGTTAAAAAAAGTTCTAACAAAGGGTCTGTGGACCCGTGACATTAACTCTGCTTTCTCTCCTCCGTAATTCCAATTAGGAACACGAGTAGATCAGTCAGCCCACAATTCTGGTTATTGACACTTCAATGCCTTTTACCCACATTATCCCTATAATCCTTTGCGCCATGGGAAGTTAGAAATCTATCAATCTCTACCTTGAACATTTAAAGACTGAACTTCCACACGTCTGAGGTGGAGAATTCCAAACACTCTCAACTATGAATGAACAAATGTCTCCTCATCTTGGTCCTTAACTTTATATTATGCCTGTTTCTACACTCCCCAATCAGGGGAAACATCTTACATGCTTCAATCCTTAACACATCCCTTTAAGTATTTTGTTAGTTTCAATTAGATCACCACTTACATTTCAAAACTCTAGAGAATGCAGGGCCAGTTTGCCCAATCTGGAC